CTCCAGATGCATTTGACGCATTCACGCAGAGTGAAGTATAGAAAATTTATGAGATTTCATTTATTGTAAATAAAATTGAAATATTTATAAACTGCATTTACTTTACTTAATCTAGTGTTAATTAAATTACTAAATGTCTGAGGTAAATGTGAAACTCTGAGTATTTATGAAGTAATTCATTGTAAGTAAAAGTTAAATATGAGGAAAATTTAAATATAGGAACTTTCAATTCTCATTCTAAAAGTTATTACGATTAAAGTTCACTTGAGCCCCCACTCGAATAGTTGCCTCTTCATTGGCCTGTCAAACCCATGCGCTCTTCTAGTTCATTAGAGCATTCCAGGATTACCTGGAGACATTCTGTTATCCCAGCCGCATCATGCGCCAAGCCCCTGGGCAAATAAATAAAATGGCAAAATGTAAACGAAAATGAACCTGTCGCCGTCTGCAGTTTAGTAGCCAAAATTAACACTAGATTTACATAGACTTTGGCAGCTCCCAAGTTGCGCCCACTCTCCACGTCAAGTGCACAATCGTTTTTCAGCTAAATGTGTGTGTGTGTGTGTGTCGATGTATATATCCAGGGCAACAGTTTTTGCAGCCAAAATAAATGCCAGGCAACGGCAGCCGCAACGAAGGCTTCCTCACCAAAATTTTAGCCGCCGAAAATTTCCCTGAGCGCAAATTTGAAAAGCGCTTTAAATGCTAAGCTGCATTTAGGCGTTTGTCCCGTTACACACAGCACACACACACACACACATGGAGAGAGAGAGAGTATCCCATGCTTCAGCTTGTTTCCTTTGTGTGTTTACCAGCTGTTTTTAAACATTTTTGCTAGCGTTGCTGCTGCTGCTGCTGCCGTTGGGGCTGATTTTTTTTTTTTCGCAACCGCCAAATGAGGCCACCCCCACAGAGTACAGGCTCTGGCAAGCAGCGGCGTTCGCGGAAGTGGCTGCTGTGGCTTAGTCCTGCACATGTGTTTGCCATGCAGCCCCGGCGTGGCGGCCACTGTAACGTTGCAATTTGGTCGCAGCACTCGGCAATTTGTGTGTTCAAGTTCAGCATTTTTCAAAGTTCTGCTCTGCCACAGGCCACAGGCCACAGCAGAATCCAGCCGCCCAGCGAACATAATTTTTAAACAGCAAAAAAGACTTGTCAAATCTCGTTAAATTACAGCAAGTCCTGTCTGGACTTTAAGCGTCTTCGGGCGCGGGCGGGGGTCTGTGACCCAATTGATTTAAGCAGGCTGAAACATTTGTATTGCTCTACTCTGAAAAAAAATGAAGAGTATATTGGGTTAAAGATTTGTCCATTTATGACAATATATGCATAATAATAAGTATATATTTGTAAAAATTCTAATCTAATTTATATTCATATGTATAAATATATATATAACATTTTTACATTAAACTAAAAACAGAGCATTGTTCAGTCGTTCCTTGACTTATTCTCCTCACGTGTTTTTTTTTTTCTCCTTCACTTTTCTGGTCAAACGTCACGAAATGAATTTTAATTTTTTATAGCGCAACCTTTTTAATTTTCTATTAAGCGGTTCG